CAATATCTCTTTTCCGACTCATTTTACGATGAAAACAGTTCAATACAAAATAAAATTAGAGACAATTGCCTACAATTTATGTATCTACCTTTTTTTTTATAAATTCAATAGTTTTGGCGTACAAGCGCCGCAAAGTGTACTCCAACGCGCGCTTTGGTCATTACTCATTATTCATGTAACCTGTAGCTTTTAATTTCAACTCATTATATTTGTGAGTTATGAAATTAATGTAAATCTAAACTATACTGACTATAGATATTATATTATACTATAATAGACGCATGATGTAGATGAAACACCGGTCTGTGACGATTCGATTGGTACTACAGACGATGAATTTGCAACACATGGTCCATCGAGAACAACAAAACGAAGGAGAACACGCTAAAGTTTAGCACATTGAATTGTATGTGGATTAGGTCTATTGGGGATACCAATAAATTTAAAAAAAAAATTTGGTGGTATGGAAATGAGTTTTTGGCCTAAATGCGCGTTGGAGTACACTTTGCGGCGCTCGTACGCCAAAACTATTCACTTTCTGAAAAAAGAGGTAGATTCATAAAATGTAGGCAATTGTGTCTAGTTTTATTTTGTATATAACTGTTTTTATCGTAAAATGAGTTGGAAAGTAGATATTGTCTAAAAACTGCTTTTAGGCGCCATTTTTTCAATATGGCGGCGGCGCGAACGGCAAAAATACGAGATGGCAAAGTCGAAATTCGGAAAGGTGCTCTTTCCGCACAAAATTTATAAAATTACCAATTTTCAAAACTCCCGGTAAACTTTCCAGGCACTGCCGGATTTAGGGGAGGGCAACCGGGGCGAAAGCCCCGGGGCCTCCACAAACGGGGAGCCCCCACAATAGAGATTTCGGGAAAAAAATCGAAATCATCAACGATTTTTCGGCGAAAAAAGCTCGAAAGGTTCCGTTCGTTAACTCTAAGATTTAATTTCAGATAATTCTTGTTTCCGTTTATATTTATATGTGTTTGTTCAATACTAAGGGAATCTACTTGGTTCACAATAAATTATTTATTGAAAAACTCGACTGAAAAAAAATTGTTTGCTTTATTTGGAAAATAATTTGGGGTGAGGGGGCCTCCGCTCCTCTGTTGCCCCGAGGCCTCTAGGCCTCTAAATCCGGCCCTGTTTCCAGGTAACCACTATATTTCCCACCAAATGACTGTACTATATGGTGAATACGATATTTAAGTACTTTGTTTTTCTCTTACATTTTTATTTCATATTAAATATCTATGCCGCATCAGATAACTTCGGAACTAAATAAACTAAAAATAAACGAAAATCTAACGAAATTCCCTGTATGAATTTCCAGGTTTATTTTATAGCTTGTTTCTGAGTTTAATAAGATTCTAAAATGGTAACATTTGAATGCCGATCTTCAATTTTGTTTAAAAGTATAGATATATATTTAAGTTAGTTAGTTAAGAGATATATTTAACTACCCATTGATATAGATCAATGGGTAGTTAAATATATCTCTTTTTAATTTAATATTATTTCGATCTCAACAATTGGCGAAGTTTGGGACATTAGTCACACCATTGGCCAGTTACAGGTTTTCCATTCATTGCCCACCCATTTTCACCCCCTTATGAACGAGGAATAAGTTTAGACTAGTTACGCCGTGTTTTGTTCATTTCACTCAAGTACCATTTGTAATTCAATAAACGGAGACAAAACATAGTGTAACTAATCCAAGCTTAATCTTTGTTTATTAATAAGTCTGAGAGTAACCAAGTCCAGTGGCGTAGCATGGGGGGGGGCGGGGGGTGCGGTCCGCACCGGGCGGCACTTTGCCGGGGGCGAAGCTGCGGAGGTGGCAGATAGAGAAAAAAAATTAAAATATAAAAAAAAGTTAATTTCTTTCAGTTTTTTTTCGTCATTTTTTTGTTGTTGTTACCAAATACCCAGGTACCTATGCAGGTTCTATGCATGGGTGATGCAAGCGCAAGGTTGCCATGCCTCAATTTTTTTATAATGGATTGCAAAAATAAGAGGGCGGCAAATTTGGAATCCGCACCGGGTGCTAGTGACCTATGCTACGCCACTGACCAAGTCACATATTAATATATCAGTTCTTATCCAGGTAGAATAGGATAACTAGGTAAGAGTGGAAAGATCTAGACTTTACAGGACCGTGCCTGTAATTGTGGGGCGTTACATTTTTTCACCTTTTTGTACCCGAATTCGTACATAATACGTAACCCATATCTTATCTAGGGCCCTTGAATACTTAGCTATCCAACTTATCTTTCTCATCATACATTACATTACACGGGACCTCGTGAACCAACATTCTTGAAATAAAATAAAAGCTAAAACCTGTTTAAAACATGATCCTTTTTAGATCTGTTCGATTTATAAACCCAAGGAAAGGAAATACCAGAAAATAATTAAAAAAAAATTTCTAGACATTCATAACCGCTTAAACCGAATTGAAGTGTTTTCGAATTTCAATGACTTTTTACAAAGAAATAATAACTTAACTTATTGATGTAAAATAGGGGGCACTGAAACATCTAGCAGTGTGTTGACCTGGGTAATTAGGTAGTTACAATACAAACGTATACATGACGTACATGATATTCTTCGAAACCTTTGTAGTCGATGAATTGAGGCCATGAGAACCAAAGTAGCCTAACTCATTTTTTTACAATATTAAGTTCATGATTTTTTCCAGATCATTATGATAGAACCACAGTGCTCTAAAACTGATACAACGAATTTTCACTAGATGGCAGCATAATCACTGTTACGGTTTTTACAATACAATACAATGCAATACAAAAACCCTTTATTTGTTTTTAGTATGTTTTTATCTAAAATTGAGGTGCTACACTGGGCTAAGTAAGATAGGCCACTATGGTTAAAAAATGAGTTAGGCCACTATGGTTCTCATAGCTTCAATTGATATAGTGACACTTTTGTTTCCGAACAATAGCTTGCACCGAACACTTTCAAATTCAAATTCAATTCAAATTCAAATTTAACATTTGGTTTAGATGCCATGCTAACACAAGCAGTAAATAATAGCAATTTAGCAATAATAATAAAAAACGGACAAGAGCGAGTCGGCCTCGCCCACCGAGGTTTCCATAGGTTCGCAAAATAAAGGACCATAATTAATTTTGAAGTGAAACTTCTTTCGAACGAAATGATGAAACGGAAATGCGTCACGAGCGTCACATTATATACATGTGTGTGTGTATGTGTGTGTGGGTATGTGTGTGTGGGATGCGTGCGCAGCTCTTCCCGACCAGCGTGAATTTTGGAGGGTAACTCGGCGAAGACTGAAACGCTACGAGCGTCACATGCGACAACATATATACACATATGTATATACATATATACGAGTGATACGTGCGCTGCCCCATTCCCCCTATGCCTTATGCACCGCCTAATATTAGGTTATTTAAGAAAAGAAGTTTCACTACAGACGTGTAAGTTAATTTTTTAAACTTAGAAGTTTATTTTTTCACAGCTTCAAGCGACCGTAGACTTGAGTATATGGTTTAAATTTCAACTCAATACCTCCACGCGTTTCCGAAGTAAAGAGTCCGAAGTAAACAGACAGACAGACTGACAACAAAGTGATCCTTAAAGGGTTCCGTTTTTCCTTTTGAAGTACGGAACCCCAAAAATATCGACGAATAGAGAAACCTCTTTTTTGTAGATAAGTCCGACAAATGACTCCACCCCATCTGATGTTAAGTGACAGTGAAGTCCAGACGTGAAGATAGCTGGTACAGCAGTTCTCCTTTTTGAACTCTGTTGAAAAGAGGCTGGTCCCACCGACATGACCCCCTGGTGGATATACGGTTTTTTTTCATCGGTTGTCATTAATCCTCCCAATCTAGACATTCAAAGGTACGTAAATTTACATCAAGCTGGAAGTTAGTAAATTTGTTGACAACATAATTAAAAATGACATTTCAAATTCCTGAGATTGATTGTACAAATTCCGAGTATGTACATACGTCCAAATTCTATTCAACTTACCTTAAATTTTATATATAAACTTAGTAAAGATCCTTACCGAAAAAAGAAAGTTAAACAATAATTTATGAAAACGTTAGGTTACTTACAAATCTATAGGTACAATTAATTACTGAATCACAGAACACAGAAAGGGGTTGGGAGGGTGATCAAAGACCTATTGTACGGCAACCGATGTCGCCGGCTCGCCGCCACTACACTTACACCTAAAAGACAATAGCCAATCAAACGACGCGACATCAAACAATCGAATCAATTGGCGCTCACGCCCGAGAACAATGACTCAATCAGAACCAAGTTTTGGTCAAGTTATGAGCCTTTGCTCATACCTACATAACTGTCGCGCGCCTGCCCCGCCCACAAGGCCTTTTTAACCTTTCTGTGTTCTATGATCGCAATGATATATTTCGACGTTTAAAATAGAGATTGAAGCTTTCAACAGACGACATAAGGCTCTAGATTGTGTTACGCTATGCCTTTATTGTTCTGAGATGCTATGACTCTACCATAGAATATGACTAAGATTTTTCGACTCTACCATAGCCACGATCAACATGACATAAATATTTGTACCGTGCCATGTCAGTAGTCTTGCACTGAAACTATTAAAAAATACAAACAAAGTGGAATACTGCTCTGCATTGTTCTGAAAACTGCATCGCAGTACCTATGTCGTAATGCTACAAAGAGTGTTACGCTGTAATTCAAAATTATTTCAATCGTTTCAAAATATTTCCGAAAACTAGCGAAAATTGCGTATTTTCCTCGTGTTATTTATTAGCTCTACACCAGTATAAGGGTTTAATCTTTACTTACAATTATACTGCCATCTATAAGGATACGACGATACTAATGTTACTCAACTCAAGGCTAACTTCCATTTCCTAATCTAGATGGCGTTATAATTTTATTGTTAGTGTTATCGCAATAATAGAACAGATGGCGTTGTTAAGAAACATTTGTTAACATTGAAGTTTGATAATATTACCACGGTGCTGTTTTGATTGTTCTTCCGTACAAACTATGTTTAATGTTATCAGTATCGTTTGCGTTATCGTAAAGTTTAATACGTGTTTTGTCTTCAAAGTTATCAGTCGGCAGTCGGCACTGGACAGTCTTTCTTATTTGGTAGTATCAATAAAAGAGAAACAGTAAGTGTATTTATACTTATCTATTATTACTAACCAGAAGTTATAATTTAGTTTTATTTTATAATGTGTTATTAATATTTTGATTTTATTTTTTATAATTAGCGCGACGATTTATTTCATGTTCATTTTGGTTACCGGTTTAGGTTAGAATTGAGATAGAATCACGAACTATGAAGTTCTATTTATAACAGTCAAAGAATGAATCAATTGACAATATTAGGGTGAAGGTATCATTGTTATGGCGCGATAACTTGGTCGCTGGTAAACGACTAAGTGTAAATGAACGGAGTGGAGTTCGTCCGTCTTCGGTTAGTTTTCGTTTTGTTTACCCGATACCGTTTCAGTGTAAATATTGCTTCTGGTGCCCGAATTCGAATAATGTCTTTCGTGCTGACGACCAAATGTAATTTAACCATTAGACTTAATGGGATAGAGATGCGATAGAGTAGTAGGTAGGTTTTTATCCTTTCCCTTTTCTTTATATAATTAATTGTCAAATCCTCTTCAACTCTAAATCTAGATAGTAGGTAGAGTCGACTCTATCTAATTTAAATCAAAAGGTGATAGTCTAATATCATGTATCTCCATTAGTCTCCATCCTTATCTGTCTGGTTTTTTAAATATACATGAACAATAATGATGTAAAAAACATACATAAATTGCAGCTTTGCTGAAACACTAGTTCCCTGCGAAATTAAGAGTGAGAAAATCAAAATCATGCAACTGCAATAGCACGACTGAGAAAGTATCGTGTGGTCTGCCCGCATGTCAGAACCGACCTATAGGTCTGTTTTTGTAAATATATTTTTAAAATTATAATATAAATAACATATTTTAAGTAATTTTGGAAACTATGATATTATATAAAATATAGTAGGAACCGGAAAAAGTGTCTGCCATTAAGTTTTTCTGTATAAAAAAACTATATTTTAAGATATCAAAACGGCAGACATGCTGCGATCACGTTTTACAAAAGTCGATTTTCATGCTTTTCGACTTCTCGGCACGCCTAAAGGAACCCTCTATGGGAATAGTGAACCACCATTTGATTTACGGCAGATGAATTAGTATAACTAGCATTAATATGAAGTTTGCTACTATACCATAAGTCTGCGGATCACTGGCTCTCAGTCTATGAGATTTAAAATCAAATTGAAAACGTGCAAAGCGGTGCAAAGAGTGTTTCGTATCAATGCTAAGAGGGAAGGCGGGCAATGTTTTTGTTTAAAAATAAAGGTTCTCGGCTGATTCTTCCTTGATTGTCATACATTAAAATACCTACAATTTTATTCTATGCTCAGACAGGAGCATAGAATGAGTAAAATTATCGATAACTTGTGTTTCAAAGAAACTAGAAGCCCTCAAAAATGCCGTGAATAAATGTTATTGATTTGATCACCACTAAAAACGTCTATTGTGGAGATTTAGTAAGCATATAGAAAAAAAGCATACCATAGAGGCATAGTAGAACTACTTATTATTCTATGGGTAAAATTTCTTTTACATACATATATTTCATGTTCGTGTAATACTGTTGTCTCTATTCCACGGTGTTTGCCAATGGCTGCAATAGCTTTTTAGAATACCTATTATCGTAAGGAATTTTTAAATATTTGCATTTCAATTAGGGGTTAACTAATTCAAAAACAAATATTTGGGAACAACGAACATTACCTGTATCGGGCTATTGTCGGCGTCGGCCGTGTTGCTCTACGTCAGCTACACAGCCGACGCGGCTAGGAAGGGAGTAGCCATAATGACATAATATAATAATACTACTGAAATCATTCTGTCGCTTTTTGCGGGCGGAAGAATATGCACACAATGCAAACCAACATAGGTAGGTACTTTCGCAAAAACGAAATTGTAATAACGACACTCACACATAAAAAATGACAGCGCTAAATCGGGCACAGATGAAACTTAAGATTTTTGACAGATATGTACAGAAAGAATTTCGACGCGGTCCGTGAGGGCCGCGGTAGCATAATTGGTCAGTGCATTCGCCCGGATTGCGAAGGGTGCGGGTTCGAGTCCCGTCTGCTGCCTGGTCCGCGTGGAATTTTTTCTAGTTATATTTTCTTTAGATATGTACCCTTAGCACGAACCATTATCGAATTGTAATAGTTTGCGAAAGCGAAATGTCATTGGAGATAGAAATAATATAAAATATCAATGGTGTCAATTTTGGCTTGATTATCTAAACCTAAACTTAAATTTGACAACAGTATATCTTTTTCATTCTCTATACAGAATGAAAAGGAGAGCCTGATGTTAAATTTGGTTTTAAGTTTAGAGAATCCTGCCCGAATCGACACCAATGTTATGCACCCTCTCTAAAACGCAACTTTAAAAGACTTTTAAAGGTCTTTTCAAGTCAGTAATAAATTAAAATCATTAACTACTCTTGCATTACATTTTTCTTTAAATACACTTATTATTTATCATTTGAACAATGTAGGTTATAATCATTAATCAGCCTTGTTTAATGTTTTATTTCTTTTTTACCCGACTGGGCAATGCAAGAGCGCGAAGCGCGACGCGCAGACAAAGTATAGTGCTTAACAGTCTATATATGTATGTTTGTTCCTTTGTGGCACACTAGAGACCAAACGCATGGACCGATTTTGATGATTCATACATCAATCGACTCGTCTTAATCATGGGAGTGCTACTAAAGATATGATAGTAATCAAAATTCAATATGGGGACAATTAGGCGCCATCGGAACCCATTATTGAAAAAAAATATCCATTCTTGAATATTTAACGGGTCCCGACTGTTAAAGTAGCTTTGTTCCTTACTTAACAGAATTTTAGACTACTGGACTTGTTTTTTTATTTTCAGTTTTTGTATGAAGTAATATTTTAGCAGTCGGGTTTTATGATTATTAAATTAATCATTTTTTAGTAAACCGTTCTGCAAATTTGGTTCTCGATATCTTATAAGTACATTAAAAGGTTCTCCATAAAACTTATATATAACCTTGTTGCTTTAGAAATTATCTTAGACTAAAACCAACATTAAGCCTATGACATTAAAAGAGTACTTTTTGCACCACCTTGTAAGACTTTCCTACAATTATCCGGTTAACAGGATAGAATGCCTAATGGCATTAAATAAGCCCTGTTTATTTCATCAAAATAGCATAAACAAATGCAAATATGTGTGAAAATTTCGTTTTTATATTACAGTTATCGAACCATGAGCAAGATGACCCCTAACCCTGCTAAGGCGCTACTGCGTGAGCAAATAGCAACTCGTATCGCTGCGCTCTCTAACGAAGAAAAGAAAAGACAGTCAAAAATTGTTTTTGACAAGGTATGTATGAACCACATCTTAAGCCTAGTCATTTATTACAGCGGTCACCCAAGCGGGGATTTTACATAGAATAACATACAGGGCGCAACTTTGCACCTTGTGAAATACTCCCACCATACCTGAGCCCACAAAACACAGGTGCGCCACAGTTATGTGTGAGCAAATTCTTCTTCAACCTTTATCCACCCACCACCCAGCCCAACCCAGTCTAATACGACGGTCGATTTCTCTAGCCTGTCCGCTTTTGTCGAGTGTAATGAGCTGCCCCAAATACAAATAGTCTTCCACCCGTTCGATACGATTTTCTGCTACTACTATGTTTTCTATACTTGGGTCTTGGCACATTATTTTTGTTTTTGAGGTGCTCATGCGGAGGCCAACCGCTATCGAGACGTCATATAGTTCCTGCAACATACATTGCAGGTCCGCTGTGGTCTCAGCAAAGACTATTATGTCATCAGCGAATCGCAAGTGAGTTAAGCGCTCTCCGTTTATGTTGATACCCCTATTCGACCAGTCGAGGAGCTTAAATATATCTTCCAGGCATGCCGTGAACAGTTTGGGTGAGATGGTATCCCCCTGTCGTACGCCTCTCTTTACAGGGATGTGTTCCGATAGATCATGGAGCTTGAGTTGAAGTGTGGCTGCATTGTAAATTTCTTTAAGTACATCGATATACCTCGTATCTACCTGACTCCTTTTAAGTGCATTTATGACGGCCCAATCTTCCACAGTGTCAAAAGCTTTTTCGTAGTCGACAAAACCAAGGACAACTGGCAGATTATATTCGTTGCACTTTCGTTCGTTGTTCATTCGTTGTGTGAGCAAATGCTCATAACTTAATCATAACTTTGTTCTGATTGCGTCGTTGCCTTCTGTGTAGGCGCTGATTAGTTTAATTGTTTGATGCCGCGTCGTTTGATTGGCTATTATCTATTAGGTGGAAGTGTAGTGGTGGTGAGCTGGCGACAATGGTTCCCGTACAAACGACCTTTGATTACCCTTCTAACCTCTTTCTGTGTTCTGGGCCTGAGCCCTATATAGGGTCGAACGTCTAGGGCAGCAAAAACAAATTAAACAATCGGATATGACATTTTGGTCTTATCCAATACGTCAGTCTTTTGAATTAGAACTACTCGAGGGTTCACGTGGGATTCTAAAAAAACTGAAGTTAACGCGGGCAAAGTCGCGGGCGGCCTCTACCATAGTATAATTATGAAATTAATGAAAAAGATTAGGTACCTACCATTTCTGATGATAACAATAATAACATGGAAATTTTTGTTATTAGGTCAGAGGTTATGTTTTCTTTTTAATAACCTTGTACAGATATCGTCACAATAAGTCAATTTAAAAAAAAATCTATATATTATGGTCTTATCGTGTTACAGTGTCTAATTGCATAAGTTTGATGCATCACTTCTTAACTAAATTTATTTCTGTGTCAATAATAACAAATCTATAATCCATTATCAGCAGCCTACTTGCTAAGCCACTAGCCGTAGACCCAACCTCAGGGCTCCGCCCTATCCCCCACTCTCTTTCTTCTGCATATCAATGACTTGCTTCCTCTTGGGAATATTCATTGCTATGCAAACGATAGTATAGTGCATGCGTCGTATCTGAAACAAGCAGCGGCTGGGCAGGCGGTAACCAAGGAGAAACGGGAAAATCTTGTAATTGAACTCAATCAGGCATTGGACCACATTTGGACCACAATCAGTACACATTTCCCCGTTTATTGTTTAAGAAAAGAAGTTTTACTTCAGATATGTGGTCCGTGTACACTAATTTTTTCATTACGGTTTTCTACAAGTTGAAATCTTGGAAGTTACCTATTTCTCCAGACCAACGCTCCAAATCGAGCGGAAACAACTCTCTATACTGTATACTTACACTCTTAAAATCAGACTCCCATAAGGAAAACGGATCGTACGCTTTCTATACAATAATTTGCGCAAGGAAGAGTGAAATATGAGATTGCTGCTGACTAAAATGTATATAGAGGATATTGAAAAGCATCCCATTTAATACAATACATTAGACACATTAGAAAAATTAAGTAATTTAAGGTGATGAATGCAATGATATTCATTATTGTTCATTTATACCAACAAGTGTATGTATACCTCCAGCTAATCAACCACCCCTACTACAAGGCTTCGAATCGAATCTCCCTATTCATGAGCACGGACCAGGAGATAGACACTGCCCCGATCATCGAGCACATCCGAGCCAAGGGTGCCGCTGCTTTCGTGCCTCAATACGCTGGTGGGGTGATGAAAATGCTGCGCTTGGAGTCAGGGGATGAGCAGGCCATGCCGCTCACGAGGCACGGCATTCAGCAGCACTCTAAGAGCCAGCAGAGGGAAGACGCATTGGAGAATGGTGAGTGATATTTCTTTTGAGTGTAGTTAAATAGCGCAGTTAGTTAGTGAGTTTGGTTTGTGCGATTGTGGAAATTAAGGAACTATCGCAGTGGCCGGTCATTGGAAGGGTGACCAAAAACATATTATCTCGAGATCCTTCGTGCCGAACTTTAAGCCTTCCGAAAAAGGCACGTTAAACCATTAGTCCCTGTTGCAACTGCAGTCGTTAGCATCCACTAATCAGTATTAGGCCCGCATGGTGGGTCATGGCCCATTCTCCCTTTGCCATCCATAGGAAAGACTTGTGCTCCAGCAGTGGGGAATTAAAAGACTGATGCTGATGGACTGGCTTTTGCTTGTAAAAGTTAGATGTGTTTCTAAAGTAAAAGTGCTTTAGTATGCTGGACGGGTGGTGAGAATGTTATTTTTGGAGACAGGAGACGAGTAGATCATGCCACTTAGGATGCACGGCATTCAGCCGCACTCAAGGAGCCAGCAGAGGGAATATGCTTTGGAGAACGGGAATTGACTTTTGGACATCAGGACATCGATGGCGCCGGTGGTTAGTGCTTCCAGTCTGTGGTCGTGGAAGTTAACCAACTTTTGCATTGACCGGTCTTGGCTGTATCTGTAGTCGTTAACACCTACTAATCCAAACTTGCAAATCGGGGTTTGGGATGTCGCATTTCCATCGGCCATACGCTATGATGAAAACTCTTAAACCTCTGAACCGATTTGAAGTTAGTATAGAGATACATAGTTGGAGTCTCAGGATGACAATTTGCATCTCAGAACTCATCCTTTGAAAAAATGCGAAAGAGGGGGCGGGGAGGAGTTTGTATGTGAAACAAATTAAACCACACAGATGAAGTAGCAAAAACCTGCTTTTGCTTAAATAAAAAAAATATATATTTTCTTAACGTAAGATTAGTTATGTTTTTATTTATTTTTTAAGCATTTAACTGCTAGATGTTTAAATCTAAAGAAAAGTTTACTAGAAAAAAAATTCCGGGCATTCGCCCGGATAGCGAAGGGTGCGGGTTCGAGTCCCGTCCGCTGCCTGGTCCGCGTGGATTTTTTTCTAGTAAACTTTTCGTAAGATTAGTTATTTTTAACCACGTCCACAATGTTCTTCTCTCCTTGCAGGTGGGCTGGATCTCATCATATCTCCTGGGGTGGTATTTTCAAAGTCTGGAGATAGGCTGGGGCATGGTGGAGGCTACTATGACAAGTTCATCACAAAACTCAGGACTGATTTCAACCCTCCACCTAAAGTGAGTGTCATTAAAGTATAAATGCCGCGCTCGGAGAAGTTAATTAACTTTTAAGTTTGACTAAAGTTGATGTTGTCTCTTTGCTATAACAATATAATGAGACAATACGTGAGTTAATGAAGCATATGTTTCTTATCCATAGAACAACCGCGTAGCATCAAATTTATTAAGTGTATCTGAATACGACTGTAAAATATTTTTTTTAAATGCAAGGCAGCAAATTTGTTACGGTCAATATTCGACGAGCAAATACGATTATTTACCCATTACTCAGATTTATTTTACCTAATTTGATGTTAAGGGGGGATAGAAGTTCTGTTATATAGACAGTAATGGATTTTTTAACATACATTTAAAGCCTTTAACAGCTAGATTTATAATCTAAAGAAAATTTTACCAGAAAAATTCCACGCTTTTCCATCCGGATATCGGAAGTTGCGCGTTTGAATCCCTTCTGCCTGGACCACGTGGATTTTTTTCTAGTAAAATTTTCTTCAGTAATTGTTTAGTTGACGATCACCCTGTAAATCTACGGTAAACTTTGTGCAGGAACATAGTTGTAGATTCATGTTAAGCAATCTTCTGTAAAAATCGTACTTGGTACAATATCCATATGCCGTACACAGGGAAGACCTGTGCGCCAGCTGTGTGGACATTAATAGGCTGATGATGATGATTCTTTTTCCCAGGTGGTGGCCATAGCTTTCGACGTCCAAGTTGTCGACAACGTGCCTATGGACCCTCAAGACCAGAAGGTGGATGACGTGCTGTTTGCTGAGAGTAGTTAGCATATTTTAACAATACGATCATACCTTGTAGCATGGACACCGAAACCTGAGACACGAAATGATATAAGGTTTTAGCGATAAGGTCAAATAGGGGACAGTGTAACACACACACATTATAACCCCTGGTCTGTGTAAATGGCAGATTTATGCCATTACGTCGAAAAACCCCTGTCTGTGGAGATGGCAGATTTCTGCCACGAGTTGAGAAAATTATTTTCATGTTTTCATTTTTTATATTTTGCGTTTTATCATATGTTAGTAATGGTTTTTAATTCACACGCGAAAAAAATCTGCTGTTTCATTCAAAAGTGCATCAGCTAATCGACTGAATTGTATGAAACAGCAGATTTTTTTCTGCAATTTCATCGTTGGTCCCATAATAAAAGTTGTTCCTGTTGATGGGTAGAATCACCCCCTAAGAGGTTAAATAATTTGTAGAGAAACTATTCAGGATTGATTTTAGACATAAATGAAGCCTGAATGTACGATAGAACTCGAATAATAAGAGGGATATCGGCCAGGAAAAAAAATACCGACTGTAAAAAAAGGGAGGGCTAACACAGACAGAGTTTTGAAGGGCATTTGGCTTACACAGTTGACGGGATAAGAAACGAACAAAATACGTCAAGGCAGTCCATAGACAATAAGAAAATAGCAGAAATATTCCATATGGTTAGGGTTACCATCCGTCCGGATTTGTCCGGACATGTCCTGAAATTTTTGCCTGTTGTCCGGACTTTGTCCGGCTTTTTAATATGTCCGGTTTTTTTAATTACATGAAATATGAGTAAAACTACTTATTAAGTTATATCTAATAAGTCAAATAATGTTTATTAAGTTCTCATTCATTTAAAACAAAATATAAATCACCTTTAAAAATCAACAACGAGACCGATGCGAGCATCTGATACCACGCGTATAATACCACTGTAACTAAGAGGGTGATTTGCATTGTGTGACTAAAATGTCCGGACTTTTATCGAAATGTCGAAATGTTTCAAAATTTTAAATAGTTACCCTACATATGGTACACTCTGTCCCTTGTTACACTGTCCCCAACTTGATCCTACTCAACTGTCAAATTCCATTGTTTAATTAGACGTGTATAAATATGTATATTAAAATATCCTGCTGGCGGTGGCCATGCAAAGGATCTCTGTTGAATTATGAATAAAATTTTGTTAAATAAAAGATAATAAATACGACGTGTTTTTGTTGTGCCTATCTGACAGAGCCTCGAAACATGTACCTACTTGCTCATACTACAGATAATTCCATTAACTGGTATTTACTGCTAATGGTAACATTTTAAAAGCTTACCTATAGAAAAATAATGTAGAGCACGGACTAATCTTCCGGACATATTTATCGGTCCACTTAGTGTTATAAGTTTCAACGGTCTGTAGCTAAAATTTATATTTAATATGTTTATGGTAGAGCAATAATTTTAAAAACTTAAAATGCTAGGTTGGTTGATAGATGTATCCGGAAGTATTACAGGGCGGAAGTGTATTAAATATTAAAGATATAATATTTTACTGAAAGACATCATTTTATTTTTGAAATTTTCTCTTACTTTTCTGTGCTTCCAACAGCTAGTAAAAAAAAAAACATAAAAAGCGTGATTTTTCTTTCATTAAAATGCTATGTTATTAATGAAAAAATAACCCTTTCGACGGTTATCATAAAATTCATGTGGTGTTTTGTTTTACATTTCACGAGTTTAATTCGCGGTTTTGGCAGTTGATTTTTTAAAAACTGTGAACGCAGTGCTTATTAGTAAAAATAAAATAATGTCTTCTTTCAATAAAATATCCTATCTTCAATATTGAATATACTTTCCCTCCGTGTGACAAACCCGTGGAACACCCTGTATATTTTCTGATTTAAAAAGTGGGAAGAGTAAAGAGGAACCCAAGCCGGGCATATACATTTTATGGGAGGTAGGGTGTAGCGAATTTTAAGCTTGTATTGGAACGTCCGTCTGGGGAAGTAATCTCCACCTTACATAACACCACTAAAGTTTACACACTACCTTTTGGTGGTGTTGTGTTTCTGTTGGTGAGTAAGTTTCCAGGTGGTAGGGGATTGGGTCAGGGTAGGCAACGGCGGAAGTGATTTTTTTGTGTCGCAAGCGTATATTGGCGATTTTGGCCGCTTACCATCAGGCGGGCCATATGATTGGTTGTCATCCATTTAACGTTAAAAGAATATTAATGAATTATTTATATATTTTTAACACACTTTTTTTAACTACATATATAAACATCGATAGGAATATAAATACAAGAAATTTCACTGTCATATTCTTCATACACGAGAAACGTAAAAATATATTTCTTAAAATTTATGACATACATACATGTTTACTTAAAGTTAAGCAGAAAATCACAAAAAATACAATATAATTACAAAATAAACTGAGATTTTTTGAATTTACACATTCTTACAAAAATTATTGAAACGAAATTACATAAGCGTTGAAAACTGTTAAAGGGTGAAGAGAAACATAAAATATGACATTTGAGGGTTTCTTGTTATTTTTAATTTATTTTATATACCAACATTAATTCAGTAAATCTATAGATTGGTTGCCAATTTTGCCAATAGTAAGCTGACCTTAGATTAAAACAAAAGCTGATCCTTTCGTTAGCTTTTACGATGATTTTTTTACGTTGTTTGATACAATTTACTATATAACAGGTTCTATTTTAAACTACTCAATCCAAAAAAACAGTGGAAAGGGGGTGGAAGTTCAAAATAAGGTCAACTTGTGATAGTAAATAAAACTAGTTTTTACGGGTTAATGCACGAAACTTTATTTATTTATTGACGTTTCGCAGCCTTTTCAGGTCTGCATCGTCAGAATAATGATTTTATTTAAAATTGTCGAGCTACCTTCGAAAGAATTATATTGTGCGACAATTTTAAATAAAATCATTATTCTGACGATGCAGACCTGAAAAGGCTGCGAAACGTCAATAAATAAATAAAGTTTCGTGCATTAACCCGTAAAAACTAGTTTTATTTAATGAGTGATGTGCGTGAAAACCTAAGAAACAAATATTGTGATAGTAAATTTTGTCGTCTATAGCTCATAATTTGAATTGTTGTTATGAGTTAGGATGTATTTTTTTTTATTTATGGCAACTATATATAAAGATATCCTTTGCTTTTTAAGTCCAACTAGGAAAGGAAAAAAAATATAAAATACGCTTTAAGTACCTACGTACCTAACCTACGTAACCTTTAAGTAACTACGTACGTAACCGTATCTTTTCGTTTCCAAAGGTTGGTAATTTTTTCTTTTGTTTTAAACAATAATGTCACGTTTGATATCAATTTATTATCAAGAATCAAATTATAAATAACACGTTTCAAGCTTTATGTGTGGGTGTAAGAAATATTCGATTTAATGTATGATATTCGAGAAAAAAAAACAAAAAAGTTAGACACACAAAACCTGTTTTAAACAAAGTAAACATTTCGTCAAATTATTCATTTGAAAATTATATAAAACTTTCAATAACCAACCCGTTCAAAAGATTTTAGTAAACATCATAGAAGAAAGAATATAGGATATTTCTTGCATTCTCTTTGTAGCACTGCTCGGAAACCACTCTAAACTAAGGACGTAAAAAAATCCAATAAAGTTAACACAAAACCTTTTTTAAACAAAGTAAACATTTCGTCAAATTTATTCATTTGAAAATTATATAAAACTTTAAATAAACTAGGTAATTACATGTCGCAAACATTTTTATATCTAATTTGAATATCAAAATCGAAAATTAATTAATGTTTACATTTGTACAAGATTACATTTATTTAGTTTTCTGGCAAAGTATTCCGCACAAAATCTAATAGATAAAATCCTCTTTATGTAGGAAACCAAAAAACATATATCTTAAATCAATCATTATAATGCCATTATAAAATATGTTTATTACTTAAAAGCTAAAAGAGGAGAAATTAAAAACTATCACAGAATTAAGTATATTAGGTAAATACTATCAAATAAAATCAATTTTGAATTCATAATTTTGTAGTGTTTCTAATAAAATAACAAAAGAAATTAATATATTTTTATTTTCAAGACTTAGGTTATGCACTTGGTTCATTTTTATTACTTAAAAAAACACTTTTGCTAATATAATTCTATTTTTGCTTTACATTTATTAAACTAAAGAAAATATTAAGTAACTATAAAGAAACATTGCATTTTTCTAGTTATGTTTCCTTTACGTAAGAGTGCATCCCACTATCAAAATATAACTTTTATAATAACTTAAATAAAAAATAATTATTAAAAATACGTAGGATATTGAAAGGTAAATATGAAGATTTATGAATATAATTCTAATGCTTTTTCCACACATGCGCGATGAAGCTCTGGTACTAAACTACGCAACAATTAGCGTTCGTAATTTTAATTAGTTCCATCCTTTAGCTGTACATATGAAAAATACCACTATGAGCTTAGTGCCTCACAGTGTAATTAACTAACTAATAAAATAAAGATCACACAATATTTTGTTATAAATTAAAATGTTAAATTTTAATACCTATTTTAGATAATAGAAAGCATCAATCACCCTGTATAAATTGTCAACTTAATGGTACAGTGGGGTGGCAAATATTGAAAATTTTGGAAATTCTCCTTTATTTACTTTCATCATTATATATTTTTTTTGTTATTAAAATTTATATGATTTCTAATAATTTAAACATTGTGTTGATTTGTTGGTAAATTGATTGTCAATAGGTACATCTGGTACATGGTGATTTTTTTATTAGAAATAGTACCTACTAATTTTAACAAAGTAAACTGAGCATGTAAACATCATTGAAATAAAATACCCAGTTGACTAATCTATAATATACACTAGCGGCCCGCCCTCGCTTCGCTTCGGTGTAGAGCTGAAGTGTAGACTACAGTTTTTGTTCTCAGGCTTGTTATACACAATGACACTCATCTATGATTCTTCTTATACCTGAATGCAAAGTCTCAGCCCGATTGGTTTAAAATTGACAAAGTTTCATAAAACCTTTCATTCCCTATTTTATCCCCTTGGGGGTAGAATTGATCAAAATCCTTTCTTAGCGGATGCCTACGTCATAACATCTTTCTGCATGCCAAATTTCAGCCCGATCAGTCCAGTGGTGCGCGTTGATAGATCACTATGTCAGTCAGTCAGTCACCTTTGAGTTTTATATATATATAAATAGATTCCTAAATCGGGAGACGCAGCGTTGGCGAGCCCCCTTCAAGGTAGACTGGCGATCTGGTGAAGGTAGGGAAGAAAGGAACGGAAGCCACTGGATGCGGGCAGCGCAAGGCCGATGGTTTAGAATTTCTCGGGGAGGCCTATGCAGGGGGCTTCTCTTGGCTAATATGATGATGAACTATTCCTTTGAATCCTAAATCTAAGGTAACTTTAGTATATTTGAGTGACTAAAATAAGTCACGTTACAAATCACTCACTAGTACAAACTAGAGTATTTCCACACGTGAGTCCACACGTACGATACTCGTACCTATACCTTTATAATCTTTATAATTTACATTCTATTTATTTTAATACTATCTTAAAGACAAACATTTAAAAACATATAATCACAATATTATTCGATAGTGGAATTCAAACCTACTAACTTCATATTGTTTTTTTTTTCATTTTAATTTAAATACCTTATCGAAGATTACCTGAATTAAATAATGAAGTAAAGTGCTTTTTGATTCATTATAATCACAATTGCATAAACAACGAAGGATGAAAACCATATTATTTACCTCAATACTAGAAAAAACGATCAAGTTCGAGGCGGACTTGTGAAAACAACCATTTTAAGTGTCTACTTATTGCAGTTCAAGGGATAGTGTCCTGTGACAGACAAATAGCGGAGGCATATTATTAGGGTTTTGTTTGGCATCCTTTAGGTACGGAATTTCGATAATCCGCACTAGGCCCCCGTGGTGGGTCATGGCCCAATCTCCTTATTACATCCATAGGGAAGGCCTGTGACCCAGCAGTGGGGACTTTAATAAATGATCAGGTACGGAAATAATGATCGATGGTAAAGCTATCACCCGCCGAAAAGCGTTATGTCAGAAATTATCTCAAGTGTTTTCGCACCTATTCTCATGAAAAGACTTCCAAGAGCTTGTGACTCTAACTGGTAACTATGCAACCCGTTCAAAAGATTTTAATAAACATCATAGAAGAAAGAATATAGGATATTTCTTGCATTCTTTTTGTAGCACTGCTCAGAAACTACTCTAACCTATGGACGTGAATAGTAATTAGGGTTTCATTCACTCTCTCATTGCAGGACAGCACCGAAAACCCTCTGGCCTCTTGGCGTGAGTAGTTCCACTGCGCCTACTGCTGTTTAAAGCAATAAGATAGCTAGCACGGCCATCGTACCTCTACAACTTATAAAGACTTGGAAATAAGGTAGAAGTTCCTTCGTTCTCTCTTCTCTCAACGCAACACAGCTCCAAAGACCCTCTGGCCTCTTGACATGAGCAGTTCCACCGCGCCTACTGCTGCTAAAAGCAGTAACACAGCTAGCACTGCCAATGCTGCTCTGCATCGCCTCCTTCGCTTTTGTCCTCTGGCTAGACGCCTGGACAGCGCTTCACCGCGAGCGCCATCTAGCGTAAACAGCGCACTGGCAGCCTGGAACAGAAAGAGGTTGTGTTTAATACATGTTGCTCTGTATTGCCAAAACTATACTACGAAGAGTGGTTTGAAAAGTTATTATTCCTTGTCCAGCCTTCTCATTTCCTTCGGAGAACTACACGGGCTGGCCTACTCGAAAAGTAGAGAAGAGGACACAGTATTTCCGCTAGAATTGAAGAACCCATCTGGGGAAGCAACCCCCACCTTACAGAGGACTACAGTAAAATAACACTGCCTTTTGGTGGTTTTGTGTTTCTGCCGGTGAGTAGGGTTCGAAGGCTTCGCGGGGTAGGGGCCAATCCCCAGATTCAGGCCGATAAGGTGAACGCGGAAGAATCCCTAAACGGGGATCCCGCGGTTTCGCACTAAGCAGATGGTTTTTAGCGGATATTATGCCGTAAAGCGCCCGTAAGGGTTACGGGGTCCTCAGTGGGCAGCCACTGCTGGGGCTCATAAGGCTTGCGGGAGCCAGGTGTGAATTCCATTCGGCGGTGTGCCTCTTAAAGGCGCCGTCGTCTGTAAATAATATTTTTTGCCTGCGTCACAAAAAAAAGGCCGATAAAGGCCGATAATGAGGATGGCTGGACCGGCACACCTTCTGCTGCATCATCTGTCTTTGCAACTGGACTTCACTTACGTTTAACATCAGGTGGGGTGGGGTAATTTGTAGCGCCTCGTATAAAAGAAAACAACGATTCCTTCACGAACGAAGAGATTTGGTGACTCCATATTTTGTCGTACTATTCGTAAGTACAATGAAATGTTTTCACGCCTCTTTTGAAGGACTCCGTAAGACACAGTGCGTGGGTAAAGAATGGCACGGTGAGGATGGAGTCATTAGCCTGCTAAATAATAGGTAGAGCACATATATTTGTTTCATACAACATGCAGCATAATTACCTTAAATGTAAAATAGCCTTTATTTGATAAAAAGTGGAGTGGAGTGCAGTGAAATCATAGTAAAGTTAAACAGAAGCGCCACCCGTAGAGAAGTTCTTTCGCAATTTACATTTTAATGTTGTCTAACTATTAAGATCTCTAAATAGTCTTGAAGAAACTTTACTAGTGCGGTACATTTACAACAAAATATAAAGAAAACGCTAATTGTAGTGTAGATTTTAGGCCAATGTCTAATTTTATAACGTTTATTTCTTTTATTTATGCACAATAATTACAAATAAGCCTTCGTACGATGAAGCAATACGTAATCAAAGTTCAAATCTATTCATAACTTTTGATTAGGTAGTTGTGTTCATAAAATTGTTTCGACAGAATTGTTAATTAAGGTAAACCTATTCTTTATAATAACTAATATAATCTCTTATAATTATATTGAGAGTGCCTATTGAGCCATTATAAGAAGTATTTTAATCTTAGAATTAAACCTTATAATAATAATAAGTTTTCCATAAATGTCTGTTTTTAGGGTTCCGTAGTCCTGACAAGGATCCTTATAGTTTCGTCACGTCCGTCTGTCCATCCCCGATTTGGTTGGAGTCTATTAACACTAGAAAGCTGTAGTTTTGTGGAGATATGTATATGGTAGAATAAAATTTTGATAATTATTTTTTTAGGGTAGCTACATTTACATATCCCCTACATGTAAATGTACCCTGGGGATGTATTTTTTCATCATCTACCCAATCGCGTGCGATATCGCTGAATAGGTCCTTTAAAATACTAAGACTATTCTTATTTCCGATACAGAAAATTAAGACTTCTGCTCAAATAATTGTGGTAACTGCAGGCAACTACGGAACCCTACACTGCGCGTGGCACGACACGCACTTGGCCGGTTTTTTATAGCATCATTTCAAACATAATACAACTTTAGGGCAAAAGACTCTGCTCACTTTTTTGCAAAAATTCCCAAGAAGATGCCCTCGACTTCGTACGCGAGGAAAACAACATGTCGTACAGACACATAGGTACTGAGATCCACCCCCACAAGTATAAAATCAGACCTTGCTAACAGGGGCATATTTAAAAATCTGGCACCCCGGCCTATTAACGCCCCCCAAATAATAATTTAAGTTCCTAAGTAATTAATTAAACGATTAATAAACCACACGACAGGGCGCGCTCGGTGTGAATAACACTATTTTTCATACATTACAATATTTTTATTCAAAGTCGACACAATCTTGTACATCTATAGTAAAGTTACTTAGTAAAAATCAAAGGTACACCAAATCGTGATGTAAACGTGTTTAAGAGGTAAATTATTTATGAAAGTTTAATAGTATATTATGGATTGCTATTGTTTCAAAGAAAAAAGTGCAAGTTTCTTACTTTGTGTGCGCGCGTGTGTATGTAAGTTATGTGTGTCTGTGTATATATATATATATATATGCATGTGTTTTTGTTTTTTATTTTTTTTTGTTGAACTAGATAGGTTTTTATACATATAAAAGATTATAACGAGAGCTGCTGCCGACAAACTGTTACACAGTTTGGCAGATGTATACATAGTGTTAACATGTGTAATATTGTGGCAAAAAATAAAAAATAAATCAGCGCCAGCTATTTATAAAGTGCTGATAGCTTAATTTTGTATGAAATAACATAACCGGACTACTGAGTGGCTGATGCAAATATGTGAGCTCGCACGAATGCTTCCAATTTCCGATCTGATTCGCATCGCACATATCTGCGATATTACGTCACACTTGGTGACACCATTTTAGTCCACTCTGAGACTTCCCTTGTACGATCATTTTTGTAGACATGTTGATAATCAACTCAAAAGTTCTTCGAATGAAGATCATTCTAAAACAATAAAAAAAAAACTTCTTCTGTTCTCAAACCACTTAACTTTATAATAGTTCCCATCAGCGTTCATAATCGTAATAAACGAATAAACCCAAAATCTTCTTAATAGATAAATATATATAGATAAATAATCTTTTTCTTATAATAATATTTAACAACTAGCGGCCCGCCCTCGCTTCGCTTCGGTGTAGAGCTGAAGTGTAGACTACAGTTTTTGTTCTCAGGCTTGTATTATACACAATGACATTCATCTATAATTCTTCTTATACCTGCATGCAGTCTCAGCCCGATCGGTTTAAAATTGACAAAGTTTCATACAAACTTTCATTCCCTATTTTATCCCCTTGGGGCTAGAATTGATCAAAATCCTTTCTTAGCGGATGCCTACGTCATAACATCTACCTGCATGTCAAATTTCAGCCCGATCCGTCCAGTGGTTTGGGCTGTGCGTTCATAGATCACTATGTCAGTCAGTCACCTTTGACTTTATTACCTGTATTTATAATCAAACTAAAATTCTCATATTTCCGTTTTCCAGTACTCATTTTCTACACGTTTTACATGATTTATTTGCTAATTTTGTTTACAAATGTTTGGTTTTTATTCTAAGATAAGCACGGTTTCTTAATATCAATTATTGTCTGTCAATAAGGTCGAACGCTCTGAACGCATCAACAGCCAAATATTGAATGAAGCTCGCTTTCTTTTTTTTTTTTGTTTCCTCTCAGTCGGGCGAGTGGGTGTGAAATCCTCATGGATACCCTACAGCCGGCTGTAGAGTTATGTCAGACTGTTACTGACTAAAACACACCCGTGGGGGATGCCTATGGCCTTAGAGGCCATACAGGCTTCATCTGATGCGATCAACCCCTGAGAAGGGGATGATGCAGCGCTGCCTTAGTAAATACTACTGCATAGTGCGCTTAGAGGACGGATGCACTCTGATGTGCATCCGTATCAGTTTAGGACAGAGCGACTGAAGGTCTCTCAGGATCGGGGGGGCGGGGAAGCTCGCTTTCGGACCTCCCGCCTTTTTATACCCTACCGCCGCCGCGACCCATGTCAAGCGCGGCAACCGTTACACAAAAATAATCCTTATAGCATGATTCAGTATTCACGTGCGACGGCGCAATGGCTTATTTCATGTATAAGTTTGGTGTTTCTATACCGATTTCTATGATTCTCTTTTTATTGAATAGGTAATAATGTTAACTTTTTTAAATTAGGGATGAGTGAGAGTATTATAAACGTAAGAGTAAACAAATATAATCAGAATGCTCCGAACTGCTAAGCTGCTGCTAAGCTATGAGGAGTTACACGTGTTATTGTGAGTCAACCATAAAAGATAGACATATGCTGTTGCAGGATATTTTTAGACAATTTTATATAGAATATTTCCGTCATACATGATTTCTATGTAACTTTAACCATTAAGGCGGCACACACGACGGAAGCTTAAAAAATGGAGTAACTTCTCCCGTTTTCCCAACATTTCCCTTCACTACTCTGCTCCTATTGATTGTAGCGTGATGAAAAGTATACTATAACCTGCCCAGGAGTATGAAGAATAATTGTACCAAGTTTCGTTGAAATCCGTCGAGTAGTTTTTGTTTCTATAAGGAACATACACACAGACAGACAGACAGACAAAAATTTTACTGATTGCATTTTTGGCATCAGTATCGATCACTAATCACCCCCTGATAGTTATTTTGAAAATATATTTCATGTACAGAATTGACCTCTCTACAGATTTATTATAAGTATAGATAGATAACAGAAGTGCAACAATCTTTCTGCGATCCCTGTCACTATTACTAAACAAGTCCAATACGGCTGACTACCATTGAAGGAATATCCCCTAACCAAAGCTTTGCCAAATGAATTCGCATTGCAGCAATTCGCAAGTTCCTGCGATGCGACGTCACATCGCGTCACCTGATGTTAAAAGGTGATATAGTCCAAACGCATAGATAGCTGGTAAAGCAGTTATAAACTGCCACGTCAACCATCTTCACCTTGCCGGCCTGCAAAAATGCTTCTTCAAGCCTCTCATATAGGATCCTAGATTGTAGGAAATAATTGCCCGCGCACGTGTACCCTACACGTGCGCGGGCAAAGATTTCCACTTACGAATAGTAAGACAATGAAAGAGTCGCCAAATTTCTTTGTTCGTGTAGGAATAGTGGCCACAGTAAGTCGGTGGTAACGTAGGCCAGCGCGCG